GGAATTTTGTTATTTTTGTACTTTTTAATTTGATTTTTTCGAATGTTTTAAGTATGTTCTTATTTTCTTGGAGTTAAGTACCCCTCGGACGCGCCGCTCCGCCGCATCGACACCACCGCCGCCGCCGTGCCGCCGGCCAGCTGCTCAATGCCGCCCGTGCCGCTGGACACCGGCTGCCGCGCGGGGCTCCCAGCTCCAGTAGTTGTGACGTCACCCTGCTTCCGACTCGGTAATGGTAAACTGCAACACGGACACCACCACTAGTACCGCACCGCGCCCGTCGTCCATCAAATGGTAACGCTCCGACGAAAGCCAGCAGCCGGGCGAACGGAGGCGACGTCGTGGAAGCGACGGCGGCGGCGGCGGCGGAGGCCAAGAAGACCCTCCTCCCCGCCCGGGCGACAAACACGAAACGGCTTTTTAAGCTGGCACGGCGAGTCACGCTAACGCCACGCCGAGCCAGGGCCGCCGGGCCACACCTCCCCCGCGCGTCTTAATGATCGCAAAAGAGCAAAAGCAGCAGCGGCGTCGCGCCTGGGGTGAAAGTGAGGCGAGGGCGGGCGAGGGGGAGCCGATGGGAAAAAGAGTATGGCAGACGGGAAGACGAAATATGCACTAGAGCGGCAGGGATGCGGCGAGGAGGCGCAGGAGAGCGCCACGCTACCACGCCGCCCACCGTCCAACGACAATTCCAGTTCTCCGCTGCACTCCACCAACCCAACTCATGTTGCCGGTAATTCAATTTCTTCATCTGTGGCATTGGAAATGTTCGAAAAATATTTTTATCCTGAAAGATGTTAGTGGGTCGACTGTCTCGACCGCTCTCCGGCTTGTGCCGTCAGTTTCTTTAAGCACGAGAAAAATTACAAAGGAGGAGGAAATTACGCGGACAGCACCCAATTCACCGCACAAAACGGCCTGGGTGGTTTGAAAAGCAATTTCAGGTGCCAAGATTTGTTTGTAAAAAAAATGCGATAGCGTAAAACGCCCAGTTAAGCCCAGGCCACGCAGTAACCATAGGCAGTCTCGGTCAACCACTAGACCAGCATGGAGCTGCTCGCCATCCTCGCCCTGCTGCTCTGCCCGACAGGGTACGACGCCGTCCTCCCGGACCCGAGGCCTCCCCTCGACACGCAGGGTGTTGTCGACCTGGTATCGTCTTTCGTGTCGGGCAGCAAAACCACCGTTTGCATCATAGGCCAGAACCGCGCGCTGGACATGTTCACCAGGCAGCTGCCCGCAGAGACAACCAGGGTGGTCTCCAGGGCCAGCCTGAGGAGCCCTCGCCTCAACGTCGAGGTGGCGGCGACCGACCACCTGTTCGTGATAACAGCGGAGAGCGCCGCCCAACTCGCTGAGCTCGTGGCCGGCCTCTGGCTGCCTGGGCTCCACCGCGTGCTGCTGTGGACGTGGGCGCCGAGCGCGCCCAGCGTCGCCGACGTGCACTCGCTCCGCGTGGCCACCCCGCTGTGGCTGCTCCAGAAGGAGGCCTTCCTGGCCGTGTCCACGCCGGGCGGCGCCACCTCCTTGTTCGCCTTTCGCCCCGTGTTTAACCGGGATGAGAGTGTGGCCCAG